TCTGAAATCGATCTTTTGAAGAATTTGCATGTAGGTGCCGGAAGACTCGAGAAACTATACGGGGCGCTTGAGCTGACAGTGCTTGTAGCATGACAATATTGTCAAATACATTGGCTTCGTCAAATCGGCAGACTGTCTAAACATCATTCTCGAGTAGGCAGAGCTCCGGTTTCTGATTTCATTCCATCATAGCTGACATGTTCGGCTCAGGTACTGCGAGAATGGCTCTCTGCACTCGATATGCAAGTCATATGGCAAGTTCCCTGAGAATTTGGTCGGCGTCTACACGACACAGGTTCTGCAAGGACTGCAGTATCTTCACGATCAAGGTGTTATCCACCGAGACATCAAGGGCGCCAACATCCTCACCACCAAGGACGGCAAAGTCAAGCTCGCAGACTTTGGAGTTTCGACGAGCACACTCGCAGGCGGGCAAGACAAGGAAGCACAGGTCGTTGGTACTCCCTACTGGATGGCACCAGAAATCATTCAACTTTCCGGCGCCAGTCCTGCATCTGATATCTGGAGTGTTGGCTGCACGGTTATTGAGTTGTTGCAGGGCAGACCGCCGTACCATAATCTTGCAGCTATGCCCGCGCTTTTTGCCATCGTCAACGATGACCATCCGCCATTGCCTGAGGGCATTTCACCGGTTTGCGCCCCGTGCCCCCTATTCTCCGCCTGGGGCACCTATGACTAACACGACGTAGGCGTCTCGCGACTTTTTGATGCAGTGTTTCCAAAAAGATCCAAATCTAAGAGTCACAGCGAGAAAACTTTTACGACACGCGTGGATCATCGGATGCCGAAGAAGCGATGCCCCCGTTTCCAAGGCGCCAGCTAATTTCAGTCAAGCTGTGGAGGAAGTAAAACAGTGGAATAAGGCTCTCAAGTCGTCCGAAAGCTCACTTAGGGCGTCCACCGGTTCCGACAGCGGGGTTCCCGGGATGCAAGGTCATCCCGGGTCGAGATACAGCGCCAACGAACCGCTCCGACCGAGCCTGATCACCCAGCCCAAAGGACCTCTGGCCCTCGCGAAACCGAGACGAACACCTGAAGCCTTTAGGTCTCCGGAGCTTGCTGGTAAGTCATAATCTTGCTGTAGTTTCTAGTCTGACTGGGGACGGCATATTGACTTGTGAGTAGATGACGACAATTGGGACAACGACTTCGCAACAGCCATTTCACCGAGCGCCCTGCACTTGCCTCATTTGAAGCCCCAAGACAACTTTGGCGGGCTGCTCTCTGCAGATAAGCTGAAAGCATTTGCTTCGCTAACGGATGCTCGCAACGACTCGGAAAGTTACGATGACGACTTTGAAGGGGAACTCTTGACTATCAAGGGGCCGGGGCAATTTACAGATTTCGAGTTCCAGGAACAGACAATTCGTCCGACACCTCGCAAGAAGAGCGACAAGTACCCAGAGCCGATGAAGCAGCAATCGCCGCCCAAGCCAAGTCCGCGAAAGGCTGGCCATGCGAGAAATCCGTCTCGTCCCAAGTCTCCTGTCAAGCCGCAGCTCGGCCCCAGCAAGTTTGAGATACCAGCTCCTCCAGACCTGGCATTCAGGGAACAGAACACGGAAGACTACTCGGATTTGTTCATGGAAAACGATTTCAACGATGGTGGCCTAAATCCTTTTATCAAAAAAGTCGACTCTCCTCAACTATTTCACCCTTCAGATCTCACGAGCTTGCCTCGTTCGACACAGTCGCCCGTCCCGGGAAGTTCGAGACGGCCGCCTAGCGCGAAGTTGCGGCCTTCGGTTTTGCCAGATCGGCCCATGCGAAGGACGAGATCATCGATTGAGATTCAAAAATTTGCCGAGGACGAAGGTGACGAAGATTTCTCCGACATTTTCGGGCCTGAGGATGCGGTCACGGAGAGGGAGGAGAGTGACAGGGGCTCAGAAGATGGCGGCCTCATGGTGTTGTCCAAGTATTCCAACAACTCATGGCTTGGAGACGACGAGGATGAGGATGACCCTTTTGCCTCAATGGACCCAGGGTGGGACGAAATGGACCTGGAAGCAAATATTGCCAGGGACAGACACGCCAGGCTGGCAGGAAAGGTGGAAGAGCTCGTGCGATCTTTGAAAACGTCGGAAGGCGAGGAAAAGCTGTGCGAGCTTTCTGAAGACTTGGTAAGTTCAATCTGTCTATACCTCTACGAGTCGTTTTACTGACGTGTGTAGCTCGCTCTGCTGTGGGAGAACACCGAGATCAAAGATCTCATCCTCAGTGCTCATGGCCTCTTGCCGATTTTGGAGCTTCTCGAGCCGTGTACAGTTAAGAGCAGGCAGCAGATGATTCTGTCTCTCTTGAAGGTCGTTAACACTGTACGTAATTTCTTTTTGTCGCGTGATTCGGCATCATGCTAACTCGTTGGTAGATTATTTTGGACGATGTCGAGATCCAGGAAAACCTTTGCTTCGTTGGTGGCATTCCCATCATCACTAAATTCTCAGCCCGCCAGTATTCCAACGAAATCAGACTCGAAGCAGCCGCTTTCGTTCGGCAGATGTACCAGACGTCCACGTTGACATTGCAGATGTTCGTCAGCGCTGGTGGTTTGAACGTCCTGGTCGAGTTCCTCGATGAAGACTTTGACGATGCTCGGGATCTAGTCTTGATTGGCGTCAATGGCATCTGGAATGTCTTTGAGCTTCAGGGACCAACGCCGAAGAACGACTTTTGCAGAATCTTTTCGAGAAGCAAGATTCTCTACCCCCTTGCTCTTGTGCTCCATAGAGTCCTCGACGAGGAGGGAGAAGATGAGCTTTCCGAACTGATAGAGGGCCGGATTGTCAACATCTTTTATCTATTTTCTCAGGCTGAGAATTACGTTAAGGAGGTTGTCGCTGATCGACAAGTGTTGAAGAGTAAGTCTCATATCAGATACAGTCATGTCATTGACTAACAACTTCACAGGCGTTCTGAAGGATTTACGACGAATGACACCAAACCACCAGATCACGATGCTGAAATTCATCAAAAACCTTTCCATGTTGTCTACGACGATAGAAACGCTGCACACAGCTGACGCCATTGAGTTTTTGATTGATGTTCTCGGCTACAGCATGAAGAGGGGACACCAGCATTTCCGAGAGATCTCCAACCAGGTCCTCAACACCTTGTTCAACCTCTGCCGTCTGAGCAAGGAGCGTCAGGAGGATGCTGCTGTTGGTGGCATCATTCCCTTGCTCATGAAGATCATGAACACAGATCGTCCGCCAAAGGAGTTCGCGTTGCCCATACTATGCGACATGGCTCACTCGGGAAGCAAGGGCCGCAGATACCTCTGGCAGAACAAGGGTCTGGACTTTTACGTCTCGCTGTTGGCCGACCAATACTGGCAGGTCACGGCGCTGGATGCAATTTTTATTTGGCTTCAGGAAGAAACGGCCAAGGTCGAGAGTCACTTGCTCGATGGCAAGTTTACAGACGCAATCGTTGCCTGTTTCCACACGAACAAGCTCAACTCTTTTGATGCCAATCTATTGGAACCTCTATTGAAGCTCCTGCGCTTGAGTCCTTCGATATCAGGCTCACTGGCCAAGCCGGAGATGTTTGCCGGCATCGGTCAAAGACTCGGCCACAAAAAGGCCGTCGTACGGCTGAACTTACTCCGTCTAGTCCGCAACATTATGGACGCATGCGAGCCGGAGATGCTGGGCATGGGTAACGGAAGCAGCTCCTTGAATGTCAAGCAAGTCAGGTCTCTATTTGATACGATCCAAATGCTGGCCGACAAGGACACTGCTGTGCTGGTTCGCAACCTCGCGTCTGAACTTGTCAAGTCGCATAACGAGAGCGAGCTTTATGATATGCCCTCGGAGAGAAAGGGCTCTTCTGGATCAGTAGCCTCCCGACGCTCGGGATCTGGACCCAGACGGAAATCATCCTATACCCCGCCTGGACTTCACCATGCCATGTCGATGCCTGCCACACCGACGCAATCTCAGTCCCGCCACCATCGGCTTTCACAAATACCGCCAGGGTCAGGAGGCGCGTATATTGAAGTGGCCGCGAGCCCGAGAAGGACTGCTGTTCAGGAGCGCGAGGCCATCTTGTACCGCCCCCGGAGCAGAGAGGGTGCCACGAGCATTCCCAGGCGGGTCAGCGGCGAGATGTCGTCAAGCATGCCTAACGGACCATCTTCGGGCAAGAGCAGGCTGCCTCGCCACTCGTTTGCGAGACCTAGTAGCGCATCTGGGCAACCTCCTTTAATCAGATCCGAGAGTTCTCTGTCTAACAAAGAGAATCTCAGCAGAAACACATCGGCCGTATCAGCTCCGGCTGCGTCACCTGTTCTACCAACGAGCATGGCCAATAAGCGGCGAAGCAGAGCTCCAAGTTCGGACGTCAAATGGTCATCATAGTAGAGGCCTCACCAGGCTATACTTTCATTTTAACATTTCTCCCTTTTCCTTTTCTTGTTTTGCATGTGCGGGTCGTCGGCTCGCAGGGCTTGGGCAAATGATACCTCGTGGGTATACACACGGCTGGCTGGGATGGGGAGAAGGAGGCATGATTTATAACGTTGTACACGTTTTTTTCCTTTTTTGATACGAGATGAGGGCTGTCATGAGTCTTGGACGGGGAAAAGATGAGAAGCCAAAAGGGGACGACGCCGAGATTCCTTGTGCAAACGTTGGCTTTTCGACGACGGTAGTAAAAAAGTCCTCTGGGAGGGGAAAAGAATCTTTGTCCTTTTTTTTTTTTTTTTTCAACTCGGATCATGAGAGGGAGCTTTTTAATGGGCTCCCTGCGATAGCGGATGGCATTAGAAACAAATTCATGGCAAGCAATTGCACCCCCATCGAACGGCTACGGCCGTCTACAGTTCCCTGTGTCTAACTTCATCATCCTGACATTTCGGATCTCCCTTCTTACTTCCATGATGAGATCCTCCCCTAGAAACCAACCTCTTTCCACCATCATCGAAAAACGTCAACACACCCTAGGAAACTCGTCTCCTCGACACCACCTCCCCATCCTCAAACAAGCCACTCATCACCACCCAGAACCTCACTCCACACCTGTCCCTCGGCCCTCTCGAAACCCTTTGCGTCCTCCACGTCGGCGGCGCCAAAGTTGCGCCCGTACAGGTGCGGGAAGGCGGAGGGGAACTTGCCCGAGGGCGGGAACTCCCACTTCATCGAGCCCGAGGCGGCGAGGGGCGCGTAGGGGAGTTTGAGGAGGTATAAGGTTGTGGCGGATGAGAAGAAGAGGTTTGCTGTGTTGAGGACCTGTGGGTTTTGTGAGTTTCGAGTTTGGTTCCCAGGTAGTTTGACTCATGGGGAGGAAAGAGGGGGTTTATGAAAATGGTGTGTGGGGGGGGGGGAATGATGGGGGTTTAGACAGCCAGATCCTTTGGGTTTGACTGCGTTTTTTTTTTTTTTTGCAGGGAGTTCGTATACAGTCACGATGTATAACATTGTGTGGAGGGGGTGTTATGAGTACGTGAGGTAAAAGGCGAGTGTGAATAGCGAGACTCGCGAGCGGAGGGTTGGAGTTATAGACTCAAGAGAGGGGGTTGCGTGGCAGAGCAGGACAGAGATAGAGGCGGAAAGGACATGAACACAGGGGGGGACGGTGAGAAAACAAAGTAAAGAGATCATCATACCTGCTCCGCCGTACTCAGATGAATAAAGCCATCGTTGCGATCGAGGTCCGAGAGGGGGAACTCGGTCGGCAGCGGCGACGGCGGCGCCTCGGGGACGATTTTGTAAATGTATTGCGGGGTTTGAGCGGGTTCGGCCATATCTTTCAGTCTTTTATAGGGGAGTTCAAATGTAGATCTGGATGGCGGTGCTGGATGTATGTCTACTGGAACTGCCGCTGCTGTGCGAGAGGAGACAAATAAATGACTTCTGAGTGGTTTTGCGCAAACTGCTTATTTCATCATCCCACCTCCTCCCGCAACCCAAGGTAAAAGTAGAGTCGAAAACCTCCCTCCCCCCGCCCCACTTTCCTCTTCTGGAAGACGTCCAGCTCCGGCGGCTTACACCGGAGACGATGGGAGCTAATACGACGACCTTTTCATCTCACGCTCATATCACCAAGCGAATAAAACACCACCACAAATCGTCATCAATGGTTTTTTATTGTTACAGAGACCTCCCGGTCCGTGTTTCCTTATCTCATTGATCTCTTCCACAGCTTTCCCATACTCTGGGACGAAATACGCCCCAAAGACAAAAAAACCGCCCCCCGCCGCGCCCCCAAGTTCCAACCCACCCTCCATCTCACACCTAGTTTGGATCACTAACTGTCGTAAAAAAGACTTCTACAAAATCTTGCAGATGACTAGTAAACTTTTGCTTTTCCCCCCTTCTCTCTCTCTCCCTTCAATCCCACCAGATATGCTGAAATACCGCTTCGAGTGTGTGGTCAAATTAGATTTGAGACAACCATAGCACCCCCTGAGCTGCATCCTCTCTATCTCTCTTCACCTTTTTCTACTTTGTAGACTTCAAACTCTTGCTTGATATGGCTCAGTCTGCGCCCCTTTAAGCAGGTTCACCACCTTACGTACTCATCCCCACGCGCGCCTGTCGACGCGACGGTTACTGTTGAATGTTGGGATCCCAGACTACCCTTTCGTCGGCTCAAACTCGCTGGTAGAATAGCAGGTAGGCAACCTTGTTGTCCTTGATGTTGTCCTTGGCCGGCTTACCCTTGGACGCGGTGCCATTGCCGTTGGCGACGGCGCTCCACTTCTTCTCGCCGCTCTTATCACCGCCCTTAGCAGAGGTGGTGACCTCCTTCCAATCATCGCCCTCATCGTCGTCTGCCATGGCACCGAATCGGTTGGTCGACGCGTCGCGCGACGCAAGACCCGATCGGCCAGTGTCCTTGGCATCCTCCTCCGCGCCGGCTTCGGCCACGTCCTCGCTGCGGACACGCCGGATGATCGTATCATCCAGGCGGATCCACTCGTTTTCGTCTTGCCTTCGCACATCCACGGTGTAGTGACCGCCGTTGGCTTGCTTGCCGTGGTGGTAGACAACACCGATGAGCCTGTACTTGGGCATGCCGGCACCCTCGGAGACGAGAGCGTTGCGTCGTCGCTTCGAGAGAACTTCCGCGGGGAGCTGCAAGTCGAGAGGGTAACCGACCTTCTTGCCGATCTTGGTCGTTCCTTCAGTGTCGAACTTGAAGCGCTTCAGGTGGAGGATGAGAATCGGGGGCAAAGTCTCAATCAGAGTCTGCTTCGTCATGGGGGCAGCATCGCCCTGCAGCCTCTCGGGCACCGTCAAACCCTTGATCGCGTCAACAACGTTGTGAATGTACGGGGCGCCAATGTCCAGCTGCAGGGACTGGAAAGGCTCGGTAGTCACCGAGTCCTTCACACCAGGACGGCGAAGCTCTGATCGATACTGTCCACTAAACAACCGAGTGATGGGCGTCGTCGAGCTGGCTCCGGACGAGCGCGTCTCAACTGCTCTCTGTCTCGATCCAACTTCAAACCATCCATCCGCGCCGTCGTTCGACTCAACAACGCTGGCGGCAGAGGATGTAGGCCGTGTTTCAGCGGCCCCGTTGATAGAGCCACTCGTTGACATTACTTGAGCGCATTCTTCGTCGATGGCATTGAGGATCAAACCCAGGAACTCCTGAGCATCTTGCTGGTGTCCCCGCTGTAGAAACAGGTTAGCGGCAAGTAAGGGAATGAGCCACGGAACAACATACCCTCATGCTAGCGAACGCCGGGAGAGGCTGGATGGCCTTGTACACAAACTCGGGAATGAACGAATCACCGTATTGCTCCAGCTGCTCGCTCTTGAGCTTCCGGCGCAGTTTCTCGACTGTTTCAGTCGAGTCAATGACCCGGAACTCCCTCATAAACATTATCATGGCATCTATGACGGGCGTGTCGCTCTTGAATTTGTGTACAGCCTTCTTGCTGACCTGATCCAAGAAGTTGTAGAATGGCGCACAAAAGAGAAGAACTTGCAAAACCTAGTCTGGCGTTAGTAGATTGCTTGGTTTGTGGGTACAGGATACTAACTGAATTCATGTAACACATATTGCCGGTGTTGATCAAACCTCTCGGCTCGATGAACTGAACCTTGGCAGCATTGCTAACGCGGAAGTCCTGGATGGCAGATGCCAGGGAGTTTGTATTTCCTGCGGGAAAGATGGGTGCGCTACCGTTAACGGCACCATCACCATTTGTGATGGCGCCGTTGGCCGCCGCCGGAGCAACAGGGCCGTTAGCAGCGGGCTGCGCCTTGGAAGCGGCGGCGGCGGCGGCTGCGGAGAACAGTCCACTCCATGACTTCGGGGCCGCCTTGGCGGGAGCTGCCGGAGGAGCCTCGGTCTTCTCTTGTTCCGCACCAGCAACTTCCGTGCCCTCTGTTGCTTCAGTAGGCTTCACCTCCTGGGACGCAGCTTGCTTGGGCTCTTCTGCAGGCTGGCTGACGCTTGTTGCCTTAGCCTCCTTGGGGCTGCTCTTCGGGAGAGCTGGGATGGCTGGGACGACAGGAACGGCAGGGCGAGACGCCGACGCGTTCGAGTTGCTTGTCGTGGGTCTGGCCTCAGATGCCGGCACATTCACCTTCGGGCTACCCATGTTTGAGACGCTAGTCGCTGACCTGTCACTCTCCTTAGGAGTTTCAGACGTCAAGGAGTCTGCTCTCAGGGTAGCGCTCTCAGAGTCGGTGTCCTTGGAGCTCCAGGGCGCCGCCTTCTTCGAATCGGCCTTCACTTGGAGGCTGTCTTCCGCGCCGCTTTTGGTGGCCGACTCGAGAGCGCCCTCGTGCTGCTCCACAGGCAGCGTCAGATTCTGAGCATTCGCGCTCATCAGTCTTCTGCGTCGTCTTGACTTGGGAGCTCTTCTAGGGAAAGGTGCTTGGTCGGGAGGTGTCCAAGGGAGCTTTCTTTGTTTAGCTACGAAGCGAACGTGAATAGGATCTGTTGGACTTACTGGCGCGCGGAATTCCTTTACATCTTTGGGAAGCTCTGGGCTCTCGGGAGCAGGGGCAGAGGCAGGGGCTGGGGGCGCCGCGGCCGGGTGGAAAGGCTCAGCGAAAGGCGTGACGACTGATGAAGATACGACCGAGGACACTACGGAAGGTGTGACGACTGAAGGCTCGGGCGTAGGTTCAACGTGTGGAGGCGGAGGCGGCGGCGGCGTCTGAACAGGGTTGGCAGCAGGCACGGGAGGCGGGTGATACGGCGTTGACAGAGCAGGCGACGGTTGCGAATACGGCTGGGGAACGCTCACGCCGGCCATGGGGACATATTGAGGTTGAGGCATTGCCTGTGGTGACCGCACGTAGGGCTGCTGTTGCTGATAGTGCATGTAGCCAGAGGGCATGCCTCCGTTCTGGTACTGATGCGGCAGCTGATGGTAGTACGGTGTCGGTTGAGCGTAGGGATTCATGTAGTTTGGATACATGGGCTGCTGCTGATACTGTTGATACTGCTGGTATTGCGCATACGTCGGTTGTTGCTGCATCCTCCGTCTATTGCCTCCTCCGGGACCAGCGCCCATATCGACACCTCCTCCTGGCCCTCCGCCCCCCGGCATGGCTTGCCCAGCCGGCAGATGACGATTGTTCATCCTGCCGGCTTGGGAGTCGTGTATTTGCAGTGATCGTCCACGGCTGGAACTATCACTGCCTTGAAACTGCGGCTTCCTTCAACACGGTTGTCGGCGCGTTCGCAATGGAGCGTCGACAGATTAGTCGGAGGTCGGTTCGAGTCTCGAGTATGAGGTTATTTGATCGTGTGGGATGCACGAGAAGGTAATATTTCCAATCGCCTTCAGTCGTGCGTCGCTCTCGTGAGGGTTGCGGGGAACCGTTGGGAAGAAAATGGGCCCGACTTAAGTATTCCGAACGAGCAAAGGGGGGAGAAATAAAGTGAGCAAGTTGCTTGACACAGGTGATTAATCGCGCAGACACGGAGGGGCGAGCTGCGATGAAGGCAGCAACGGTGAAGGGTCGAGGATTGGGACGGGGCGACGGCTGCGAAGTTAGCTGTGCGTTTGCTTCCAATGGAGATGACAAAAAATTAAGCCGCGCGCGGGAGAGATAGAACCGTAAACCTGGAGCTAGCGGGCAGCGGGCTCCGGGCTTTGTTGGCGCAATGCGATTGCCTGAGCCGAAGCCTCGCGCACAGATCACTATTCGATCATCACAGGCTGGTATTGGGTCTCTTCTTCCGCAATTTGCCCGAAATCGGCCCCACTATAGCTGGCTTGACCGGTGAACACACCTTAGACGCTCAGAGGTGAGCTCGGTGAAGCTGAACAGCATTCACTCTTGCGTGTCCGGATGGCCCTCGAGGATTTACAGCTTTTTGGATGGCTCATGCCTCGAGTCTGTACAGATTCTTTCCAGCTTCTTGCTGATATTGAAGCCTGCGAAATCTGAGTCACCCATCCCTCTCAAATAAAGAATGCATGTTAGCGCTAGCTTGGCTTCGACGCTGTTGAAAGTCCTACTACGACAACTCAGTCTGCGCTTGGGACATGTATGTCTGCTGTTTCAATCATAAAATTCTCCTATGCACCTCGCTCATAACCTATCATCAACAGCCACCTCACTCATCCTTGAAGATCCAACGCCCCCCTCCTCTCATAGCTTCCCGATATCGTTCTTGAATCATTTGCTTCTCCCTCTTCTCGCCTTCTGCCCTCTCAGCCTCGTCTTCCTGCGTAGTTGGAAAATCCGCGTTCCAGAAGCCCGGAGGAGATGCCCTTCGAGCGTAACGATGACGGTGTTTGCCCAACTCATTCGCAAGTTGCCATGTTTTGGCTTCTATCCACAAATTTTCCTTCTCTGCCTTGGACATCCCCAAAACGATGGTGATTCTGTCACCGAGATAATCCTCGAACAATTTGGTGTCTGATGCCGGGGTGCGCTCGACATTGTTCTTTTGA